ATGGTTTTGTCCCTTCTGGCAGTGGATTCCTTGCAGGCTCTGATGGGAATCTCTCCTCGGTGAATCCAAACCAAAGTTTGGGAACTCTTCCTTTTGATGTAGTTTTATCTCTTCCAGCATTTGGCAGTGTTTACTTCTGCCTGTGTGGTGGCCCTGGCCCCTGATCCCAGGGGCACCTCTGGGCAGGCAGTGAATCATCACAGCAGCATCACCTGAGGCAACCTGCAGCTGCTTCATGGGGTGTTGTCTTCAATCATGTACAAGGCAGTTCTTAGGAATAAATTACCTGCTCACAAAACAGGCAGTGGCCAAGCTGAGGAAGGTTAACTGTGTTTCAGTTTCCCAGAACACAATAATTTTCGTGGTAATAAGCAATTAAAACCAAAGGACACCACGGAAAACCCCACAAATGAAAAGCCTGCTCCGAGCAGAAAATCATGTTGTTATTCCAAATCTAAAAATATGCCATTTCCTTTCTTTTTCTTCTCATCTTCCCCAGAGGAAGAAGTTCTCCATGAATAAGTACAGTTGGCAAAGTTAGCATTGCATCTCAGATAGACCATGGGAAAGATAGAAAATCTGATTTTTGACAGCAGAACTGTCCTTGCTATCAACTGTGAAATGATCATTGTGGGCTTCTACCTTGAAAAAAAATGAGATGTTGTGCATATCCTTCTGTTGAAAGTCTGACCTTTGTGCACATCTTAAAATATTTTAAATAAAATAACAGAGATAGAATAATAGAATCATAAAATGGCCTGGGTTGGAAGGGACCTTAAACCTCATTCCACCCCCTGCCATGGGCAGGGACACCTTCCACTAGCCCAGGTTGCTCCAAGCCCCATCCAACCTGGCCTTGGACACTTCCAGGGATCCAGGGGCAGCCACAACTTCTGTGGGCAACCTATGCCAGGGCCTCCCCACCCTCACAGGGAAGATTTTTTTTTCCTTATATCTCATCTAAACCTACTCTGTGCATACAAAATCTTTGGAAAAAAAAATGTAGCTGTAGTCCTAAATTTATTAAACACCATGTTAATAAATTAATTAAAAATATCAGTTGTTCCCTTTGTTCACTCTTCTTAGTAGGAGCCTAAAACACTCTTGCACAAATGCAGGCAGAGGTTTGGGACTAGTCAAGGATGTGCTGGTTTGCTTCAGATTCTTTAATGTATTTTTCAGGTAAGAAAAAAAAAGTACAGGAAATTTCTGTCAGTCATTATTTTTCTCATAATATGATGTTATCCCATTTAGACATCTGTATTCTTTGGGATTTCTGTTGGCAAGAACTGAGGGAGAGCTTGTCAGTGCTCTGTCGTTACAGCCCTTAAGCTTTAAAGTCTTAGAATCAGAGAATGGTTTGGGTTGGAAGGGACCTTAAAGCTCATCTCATTCCACCCCCTGCCATGGGCAGGGACCCCTTCCACTAGCCCAGGTTGCTCCAAGCCCCATCCAACCTGGCCTTGGACACTTCCAGGGATCCAGGGGCAGCCACAGCTTCTCTGGGCAACCTGTGCCAGGGCCTCCCCACCCTCACAGGGGACAATTTCTCCCCTATATCCAAAGCACTTTGAAGCAGGACATTCCATAGCACAAGTTCACAGGAATCCCTCTTGCCTTCGTTTAGAAACCCATCTGCTCTTGGCCTCGTGACTCTTAACTTGCCTTAACTCCATAACGTCTCTGAAGGCCACGACTTTCTGCAGGACCTGCAAGTCATCCCACTTGGAGAAAGTGCTGCCACAGGGACACATCAGAGTTCTTCCACGATGAACACAAAAGAAGGGGGAAAAATCGGGGTTTGTACTACTCCCTTATTCTCTCTGAGCTTTTTTTTTTTAAAATTTAGTATTATTTTTCCTTGATCATGTTCTGGGCCTGCAGACTCCCTGGCAGGTTCCCCATCACACTTCTGTTTGAAGAAGGATTTTTTTAAAAATTTAATATTTCTGATAACATTTGCAAGTCAGGCTTTGGGTTCTGGTTTTTGGCCTGCCCAGTGCTGTGTTGTGCCACATTGAAGCCCCTGGAAGTCTATTAATCTCCAAGCCAATAACTGAGAGATCTTTTCCCTAATGAGGAAAAAGTAAGTAAATTACTGCATATTTTGCCACAGAACTGACGAGTTCTCCTGGCTTGTTTGTTTTTTAATCACCTGCTTCTGCCAGAGCTTGTGAACCCTTTTATGTTCCTCTCTTGGAAGAGGCTGGTTTTTGAGGGCCGTCTGTTCATTCCGAGTGATGTTCCTGCCCCGCTGTGTCTCCGTGCTCCCCTTCCTTGCATCTTTTTAAGCCTCTCTCAATAAACTCCCCCCCACCAGCTTTTGTTTTGCCTCTGAGTGTCCTTAGGCACTCGTGGGCCCCTCAGACATCTCACTCTTTCACTGCTCTGTTTTCCGTCCTTTTAATAAACTTCCACTTCCTCAGGAAGCTCATCTTCCAGGCTGAGAACGACCCTTGTAGAGGGTTTTTTGGCCTCTTGCAGGAATGTTGGATACCTGTGTAAGGATCATAGTTATTCCTGCTGTGGATCAAAGCATGTTTTGACTACAATCTTTTAAAAATCATTATTTTTGATTAAAAGTATATGTACACCTTCCAAAACTTCCTACGTGTACTTTGGTAAATTTATTAATGTGCTTTTACACATTTATTAACATACTTCATGGCTGCTGCTTTGGTTTGTTGTGTTTTCAGAGTTCTAATTTATAAATCTGAATGAAATACTTGCATTATCTATGGACTATTTAAACAATATGAAAGCACCTTGAGTTTTGCTTCAAAGGCACATCAGCCTATCTGATTCAAAACAGCTTTAAATTATTAAAGTTGGGGCTGTTCAGCCCGGAGAGGAAAAGGTTGTCTGGAGACCTCCCAGAAACATTCCGATATCTGAAGGTCTACAGGGAAGCTGAAGAGGGATACTTCATCAGGAACTGGAGTGACAGGACAAGGGGGAACGGCTTCAAACTGTAAGAGGGGAAATTTAGATCAGATGTGAGGAAAAAACTGCTCCCTGTGAGGGTGGGGAAGCCCTGGCACAGGTTGCTCAGAGAAGCTGTGGCTGCCTCTGAATCTCTGCAAGTGTCCAAGGCCAGGTTGGACAGGGCTTGGAGCAACCTGGGCTAGTGGGAGGTGTCCCTGCCCATGGCAGGGGGTGGAATGAGATGAGCTTTAAAGCCCCTTCCAACCCAAACCATTCTGGGATTCTATAATTCTTTCCCTAAACATTTCAGCAGATGGAGACTGATCTTGGAGCATGGTATCTTCTAGCTCATGAGTGGCCCATTCCAATACAGTACTTGGAAAAACAACTTATATGGGATAAATATGTAATGGATTTCCCTTTTTATTCTTAGTTTTCTTATACTTCCTTTTCTTATAAAACTTCTTTGTGTTCAGCTGAGTGCTTTGGTTCTGAGCAGCCGATATAAGGGTGGCAGCATGGGGTAAAATGTCTTTCTTCTGTTCAGCTAGAACAGAAGAGCTGCTCCAGCCCTCTGATCCTCTTGGGGCCTCCTCTGGACTGGCTCCAGCAGCTCCATGTCCTTGCTGTGCTGTTCCCAGGGCTGGAGCAGCTCTGCAGGGGGGTGTCCCCTGAGGGGCAGAGGGGCAGAATCCCCCCCTGCCCTGCTGCCCACGCTGGGGGATCAGCCCAGGGCACGGGGGGTTTCTGGGCCGGGGCAGGTCCAGCCTCTGCCCCACCAGCACCCCCAGGGCCTTCTGCCTGGGCTGCTCCATCTGCTCATCCCCAGCCTGGATTGATCCAGGGGGTTGCCAGAGAAAGCACTGAAGGCTTTGTCTGTCAATCCAGTCTCCAGGAGTAACCCCAGAGCTGCCATTCCCAACTCTGAAAGAGCAGTTCCAGTGACCTTGGCTGCTTAACCAACCAGAAATGCAGCCACCCATGGATGTGTGTGCCCCAACCTTGCATCCCCTTGGAATGTTTACTTGCATGGCAAAAATGTTTAATGATGTCTGTGAAAAACCAGATGCCTTTTTTTCCCACATACAACTGGTTCTGGCACCCTCTGCTTTGCACAGCTCCAACTCTCCGTGTTCTGCAAGAGGGAACTTGAAATTTAGCATAGGAATAGGAATGAGACAAGTCCACACTTGGCCAAATTTTGGCACAGCCTTCAGAAATCCACCTGCTGAGAGCTGGAAGGAATCTGTGAGAGCTTTAGTGATGCCTGATGATAAAACTAGAGGGAAAAGGGGTGAGCCAGGAGGAGGAGCCCAAGCCAGGAATGGAGGTGAGGCAGTTTTCCCTTTCCACTTTGGACTCTTTGAAGAATTAAACTCTTAAAAGTATAATGTGCTGAGCTCAAAATAGGCAGAAAGAAAGAGAGAAGATATATTTGACATCTGTTTGAATTTTTAAAATGCTTTAGGACTGCATAAAAGTTGAATGTCAAGAGAAAAGACTGGGTATAAAACTGACCAAGACTGAAATACTATTTTTAGATTTATAGATCACTTGGGCTTCAAGTGATCTCAGAAAAGCCTCCATCAGAGTTAAAAACACACTCACAACAAAACCAATCCCATTTGCTAAGGATAGCTTTAAACTCACCATTGCCCAGAGAAGCTGTGGCTGCCCCTGGATTCCTGGGAGTGTCCAAGGCCAGGTTGGACGGGGCTTGGAGCAACCTGGGCTGGTGGGAGGTGTCCCTGCCCATGGCAGGGGGTTGGAGTCAGTTGATTTTTAAGGTTCCTTCCAACCCAAACCATTCTGTGATTCTTTGATTCGTTTCCTCAAAGATCTATCACAAATGTGTTTTTCAAAAAAAGGAGGTTGCTTTAGAAATGTGTGTGTTGCCTACTTAATTTTTATTTAAAAAGAGCCTGGAGCTGTAAGTATCCCCTTAATTACGAGGGGGTTTTTTCTCCTCTAGTTTCAGCAAATATCCTTTCCAGTGAGATGTTTTTGTGCTAAATCTGCAGATCTGCCTACTGGCTTTCTAATTTCTCTGTTTCCAATCTGATTTTTCATTTCAGGCACGTGTGAATCCCATCAGTGTCACTCCACCCATCCAAGCCATAGATCAGGACCGAAACATCCAGCCTCCTTCCGACCGACCCGGCATCCTCTATTCCATCCTAGTTGGTTGGTGTCTGCTCCTCTTCCTATCCCTCACAATCAGTCTCTTTGTTATGACCAGCCACAAAAAGATTTGCCTGGGAGAGTGGAAACCTAATAAAAATTTCTGTTGTGGTCAGTGGGATGTTTGAAATCTTTGTTCTACCTGTTTGTGTTTAACTGCCATGGAGAAGTTTATTTCAGATGGGTATTTATTTATTCAGATTGAATCCATAATTGTCTTGTTTAGTGAATGGAGCAACACACCAAGTGAAAGGAGAGAGACTCTGAGTTCTCATAGCTCTGCTGGGGTGTGTTTTTCATTCACAGGCCCAATAAAAGAGGCTAAAGAAAGGCAATTAGAGCAGGTTTCATCCCAAAAGGCTCCTGGCACAGAGCAGCTTAAAGGGGCTTACTGCATCCACCTCCAGTTGTGCTGCCTGTGAGCTCCTGTGCTTTCCCTTGTAGTTTAATGTTTGTTTAGTTGTTTATGCTGTTTTCTGGCCATGTCTTTCGTTTTCCTGCTACTTCCCTGTGCCTGGCATTTGTTCCCAGTCACTCTGCTTGTAGGATGTGATAAGGGAAAGGCCTGAGGGTGGTTGGCAGTTGCAGTGCTCCACCTGCCCTGCTCTTCCCAAAGTCCACAGGCTGACTTTGGAGGCATCTCTGTGGGATTTGAAGAGGGGGTGCTTTGTGTAACCACATCTTTGTGGTGTTTCCTGAGTTAAACTGCAGCTCCATGGTTTTCTCACCCAGGGGGTGAGAAAAGATGTTAATGAGCAAGTAAAGATTTTAATGAGCACCTTGAGCACCTTTGCCTGTCATAAAACAAAAGCTGCTTCTGTGTCATAGAACCACAGCTGAGTTCAGCCTCCTCCTGGAGCACAATTGGGTTTTTTGGGGGAAGCCATGGAGCCAACTGGATTCCTTTGGGCTGCACCTGGATCCAAATCTGGCAGACCAAGCAATGAGTCCTCTCCCAGCAAAACTGCTCTGGGAGGAGATTGGGAGCCATTTGTAGAGTAAATCCTGGGTGGATTTATGTCTGCAAATGGACTTGGCTTAGTTAGACTTGGCTGATTCAGCAGCTCTGCTGTGACAGCTCTACCCCAGTGCCACGGTTAGGCCAGTTTTTTGAAGTTCTTTGCAGAACTGACAAAGCTCTTCAAGAGTGAAATTATTAAAGATTGTGTTTCAGTGACGTGGGATATTGTTGATATAGGAGTGACTGTTTTGACCTCCAAGAAATAATTCAGGATGATGTGTTCCAGGAGTTTGGTTGGGTTTGGGGAATTCTTCAATGGACAGACTCTTTCTTTTTTCCTTCTTTCTTTTTTCCTTCTTTCTTTTTTCCTTC